ACTCTTTCAGTGGGAAGCTTTCTGAAAAATGGGATAAAAACATTCACTTGAAAAAACTAACAGGACAACCAGGGCAAGAATTTAAAAGTGGACTGTCCCAGTAAACATGAAACATAAATCACCCTATCAACAGTTGATTCCATATTACCTGACCATCACAGCTCACAGATTTTTGTACAGCATAAAGGGAAAAAAATCCCTCTGACACTGCAATGACAGAAAATTAACGACCTTCCCCTCTTAAGAGCTAGTCTCCACTGAACAGTATTGAAACACACTGGAAAAACAGTGTGAAGATCATTAACTTGACCATGGTTCAGACTCCTAATGAACAGTGAAAAAACGCATGAGTGTTTTTACACTTAAGCTATACCGTAAAAATACAGATGTTTGATAATCTAATTACCCAAGGAGAATGACAGGTTCAATACATTTCACTGATCCACTAAAACAAAAGATAAGTATAATCAACACGGGGTTTAAAAGACAAACATATCTACCTGCCATTCGTTTAGCTTCTGGACACAAATGTCATGACATCCTTCTTCAATGCTAATACCATCTTTGATTGATTGTAATGCTTTTTCTGCTTCACTGACCTAAAACATGAAAGTGTATATCATACTGTTCCAGGTAACTTGAAAACCTTGAAAAATTAAGCAAACTTGAAAATAAATACATTTGGGAAGAAGATATCATAACAAAAGTTACCTGTGCCCATGCCATCTTATGTTTCAACTTTTCTAGATTGTTTTGCATTTCATTCACAAAATCAATACTCTTGTATCGTTCCTTTTTTTCCAAATACTGCTCCTTAAGCGCTTGAAGAAGCTAATAAAAAGTAAAGGATTAACATTTTATGGAGCACAAGAGGCTGTAACACAATATTTAGTTTTAGAAAGGATTTTTTTGTCAAAAGCTTGAGAGGAAAAGAATCACTTTAACTGATACAGAAAAATCATTTATAGCTTACAGTATCCATTTATTTTTATAGGCTCTTCCAAGCTGTTCTTAAACGTAGGAAACAGTCCCTGTATATGGTAAATACCTCTGCTCCTTGTTTTATCTGGAGATTTGTATTTTCTTTGGTTTTCAAGATGTAAAAATAATCATCTTTCATCTGCTGTAGCTGGGTTGCCTTCATAAAGAACTAAATTGAAGGAGAGAAAGATAAATTTCTGTTTTGGCAGACTGTGTAAAATGAATTTTAAAAGTTTGGATATTTCCAAAATTAACTCAAAAAGCATCCACCTCATGTTCTAGGAAGCCTGGAGTCTTTCAAAAACATTCTAATGGATACAATCAGCTTGATCAAAAACAAAATACCCAGTAGCAAGAATAACAAAAATGTATCAGTTTCCCAAACAATAATGAGTTACCTGTCTATCCATATAAAATTTCATCTTCTCCAGCACAAGAACAGTTCTTGTGCACTTTGGAGATAATAAATCTCAGTTATCTGAATGTGACAACTTCCAAAATGCTCTTAAAATACTACTTGTAAACCTGTTTTTAAAACTCTAAATGTAAATATTTTCCACTTTATCCAGAAAACAAATATAGCACACAATCACACAGATTATACACAAACACATATGTATATTATACTTGAATGTGTGTGCGCATATACACATACACAAGCACATGCATGCACGTATCCCTCTTTTTTCTTTTGTAGGATGACCTTTAAGGACCTAACTTTTGTTTCAAAGGGTGAAAACAGATGGCTCCTTTCTGCCACTTTCATTTTTTTATGGCGGCACAAAGGCTAATCAAACAGATATCCATACCCTTGTTGTGCCACAAAAACACAAAATTTGTGTATGCGACAAAGGTGATAATAGCTTCTGCCACTTCATTGCAGCAGACATCTTAGGTTTATGGCACAAAACCATGGTTAACGTGGAGCTGCTTGTGTGCTCCAGCTGCCCCTGACAAGTACTCTCATGGCTTAAAGGACCCAATCCTATGTGCCCCAGTAATTCCTGTGCAGGATCAGATCCTTCAAGCCCCAGGAATACCTGTCCTGCTTTCCCTTCTTACAGTGATGAGCCCGGGGCAATCTGTGGCATGTATGTAAGTGGGGAAAGATGGAGTTCTCCACGTACAGACAAGACACACCTTGGAGAATTTCTGAGGTGCATCTCAAAGCAGGAAAAGCTGGGGTTTTCCACTTAGAGATGTGTCCCTGGCGATCTCCAGGGTGTGTCTAGTTGGGGAAAGCTGGGGTTCTGCGCTTAGAGACATGTCCCGGGGAATCTCCAGGGCATCTCTGTATGTAGAGAAAGCTGGGGTTCTGCAAAAATGTGCCTGTGGGAATCTCCAAGGCATGTCTCTAAATGGAGAAATCCAGAGTTCTCCACTTATGTAGATCTGCCCCAAAGACTGCCCGGGACATGCCTCTGCAAGTAGGAAACCCCAGTTTTCCCCATTTACAAAGACAGAATCTCCAAGGCACTGTAAGCAAGGAACATGGCATTCACTGTCGCTCAGGACTGAGCCCCTGCCCGATGTGGGATAATGGGTGATGTGTCTTGCCCAGTGAAGTGGGACAGCTGTGGCAGGACACATCTAACCACAGCAGATCTGCTTCATTTGGCAATGTCTATTTATACCCAGTGTTAAAGAAAATTATTTACCAGTAATTAGTTTTTATTTAAATGAACATGATTCTGATTACCTTGTATTTGTCACCTTCATTTTTAGTTTGCAAGAACTGCTTACTCATCTCTTGGGTTAAAATACATACAGGGTTATCTACCTGTAACAACAGAATGTTTTTAGTTTGAAATTACTATAAATAAATATTGAGTATTTCTGAAAGTTAGCACATTCACAGAAATGGAAAATCAAATTGCCATTTTTCCTCTACTTTCTTCTATCAAAGGGACTCAGCCATGATCTGAAGGCATAGGCCACAAACTAAGCTAAAACAACCCAGTCTTCCTGTCCCCTGAACACTAAGGACACTTACACACATACAAAGAGCCTGCTCCAACACGCTGGTTGGAGCACACCCAATTAATTAAGTCTGCTGGAGCACGTAAATTGACGCACTCTGACAGCCTCATGCGTCACATGTATCAGTGGTGCAGCACGCCTCCATGCTCAGAAAATGGTGGCGGTATGCTTTGAACTAAAAAACATTTGATGTGCTTTAATTCAAAGTCCACTGACTCCATTTCCTCAGCGCGGAGGTGCACTGTGCAGCTGATACATATGCTCCTGACATAGTGCCATGAGCTTTTAATTCGTGTGGCTCACTAATTAAAAGTGCTCGGCCTCATGTCGGAAACGCATGTAAAAATGCCCTAAGAAAATACACGCTGTGACAAGCAAGGGCACCTTACACGGGTGTTTTCAGACAAACAATTGGCTGCTAGGAAGTTACTTGTTTATTTAGAGAGTAATTTTACTTTAACTAGATCAGTGAATAGAAGTAAACATTTTTTTTCACTGTGTCTCAATCAATTGCACTCAAAAAAACTGAGACACAAGACTCAACAATTATTTTAACAAGTTGTCTTCTACGTAACCACTCAGCTTTGATTTGGACAAACTCTCTTGGGTACACCTCAACAGACTCTGAACTGGCTATGGCCGCTTCCTCCATATTACAGAAGCGGGCAATTATTTTAGATGGAGGGGCCGTTTACTGAGTTTTGGCAAGCCATCAAGGGCCGCATGACAGGCAGCCAGGGGCAGATAAATATTAATTTTCTACATTTTTCAGGGGTCCCACGAGCCGGAATGAATGGCCTGGTGGGCTGCATGCAGCCCGCGGGCCACATTTTGCTCACCCCCGCTCCATAACATGCATCAAACAGGCCTGACATCAAGTGCCACTCATAAATGTGGCACCCCCTCACAGACCGAAAGCCACATACAGAATATGTCCTATCTTCCATTGCCCTGGAAACTTCAATGCATTTGACAACCCATCTTGATCCTGGCTTAGCTATGTCCAATGTGAAATATGACTGGCACACCGTTTTTGTCATACAAAAGAAAAATCTAATATAATCGCATCTGCATATACCATATTTTCTCACATACCATCTGTCCCCAAATAAGACATATGCCCTTTGGGAAGAAGAATGCATAGAATGCAGAGAATCCAAGATGCACAGAATGAAGAAAAAAGATTTCCAGAGTTATGGCCACATACGACAGGGTGAGAGTCTAATATTCAGCTCACTCGCCCTCCTTTTTCTGCTTAGGTAAGAGGTACATTTTTAATTCCTTCAGAAATGAATTGTCAGCAGCTCTTGGCTGCCTAGTTAAAAATTGAGCACTAACTTCTGCTGAAGACTGGATTCCATGGGCAGATCCAGGATTTTAAAAAGAGCTAAAAACAGTCTGCAGGGCTGTGAAACAGAAGAGATACCAGGAGTATCTAAACTATAAATTCTTTGGTGCAATTACTAAAAAAAGGATTGGCTGATTAATGGAACTTGAAAACCATTAAAAAGGAAAGTGCGTTGTTAACACCTGTTGAGTGAAGAGCTATTAGCAAGAATCAAGTAGGTTATAATAAGTCAATAATATCCATTGATTTCCTCAGTATTGCTTCAATAGAAATGCCATTGCTGCAATTCTGGGCAGGAAAATAACTTTCCCACTTAAGATATACACCCCAATTTTGGAAGGCTATTTTGTGAGGAAAGGGTGTGCATGGTATTCAAGTAAATATGGTATATAAACTAACCAAGTTGATGATATAGAGATCTATCTGAGGCTGAAAAACATAAGCTTCAAGTTTAGAAAGAAAAGACCCAAACTAGCAAACTACAGAAGTCCAAAGCCAAGCTGGGAATTCTTAGAAGAGGATATACAACTCCCAGCTCCTAGCTCACAGGCGGTGTGCTTATGTCTGCAGCCTCCATGACAAAAATATTCTGAAGAATACAACTTGTCTTGTTTCTTTTAAAATGCATTTTAACCATTAGGTCTGTGAAGATAATCTTCCTGAAGTAAAGTGTAGCAATTATAAGTGTAAAAGAATTCATGGGAGAGGTGTGAACTGCCACTGTTTATCAAAGTTGGGCCTGCTTTTTCATTAAACTATAAAGAGAAACCATACATATTTACAAACCCTAAATTATATAAAACTCAGCCTTTTCAGCACTTACCTGTATATTAAAATGATCCAATACTGCTACAAGTTCTTCTTTCTTAGAAGAAATCAAGGTCCCTGAAAGCAAAAAAATGTTAACCCTCCCACCCTGAAAAATTCCACAGTTCATGTCCAAAATGGTAATAAGTATAAAAGTGTCCAAGCTTACTACACAACTCACTGGGCGTGTCTACACATGATGCTAAGGTGATGTAGTGTGGGCAGGTGAAAACCATGATGCTGCGGCTATGTCACTGTAGCACACTGGTCACTAACCAGTTGATCTCAGTTTGTCAGAGGCTCCATGACTGGGAGTGGCAGGACACACGTGGCTGGGCTGAACCATGTCCCCTGCCGCCCAGGTTGGGTTGGGTGAGTGGGGTCAGAATCCAGGTGACTTGTCAGGGGGGCTAGAGGGAGGCAGTAGATCCTGGGGTGTCAAAAAGTGATCTTCACCATAAAAAGGTTGGAGACCGCTGTTGTAGCGACATGCCCCTCAGTATAGTGTGTTGCTACAGTGACATTTTAATGGATAAAAATAACTGTGCGCCATGTGGACAGTGCATTATGGGCTGTTACTACACCATCATTTAATACTTCCAAAACGAAGCAGTAACAATGGTGCCATGGGGCATGGGTAGGCGTGCCCACCATTTCTAATTTCATGTAGGAATATGACAAATATTTTGAGAATACTATTTCTTGCAAATTCTTTAGACACAAATGTATAGCCTGAAAGACAATAAACTTTACTACTAAATACTGTATTTACTTGCATAATACTTGCACTCCTGAATATCCCTTCAGAAGCTTAAAAAATGAATTATATGTGAAATGCCTGCACCCAGCTGTCGGAAATAACAAATGTTAAAACTATTACTTTTATGAGATACGAGTTGTTGAAGAAAAGAATACACCTACATGTGAAATGCCTTCTACATTGTACATTAGTTCCCCTCTACATTTTGCCTAGTCTGAAAGATTGTGTAAGCTGGGGAAAAAAGGGATGGGCATTCAAACACAGTTACAACATTAATTTAGCACTGATATTTCCTCAGCCTTGTTCTAGAGTCCATACAATTGCCTCACCTTAAGTTTTTAATGACAAAATTTCAGGAAAAAAGTGTGGCAATTATATAAGAAAATATAGTTCTTAAGTACAGAAATAGCATATTATTGTTAATTTATTTAGTTGATCAAGCATTTCCCACATTCAGAGTCATCTTAAATGAACACATTCTCTTTAGTCACTGAATTTTCACTGATTTAAGGCAGGGGTGTCAAACATAAGGTGGCCAGGCTGGATTCAGCCCACAGAGCCTGGGGCTTGCAGAGAAGCCAGGGCTAGCAGGCCTGTCACCAAAAACCAGAGCATGAAGCCTCACTGGGGACATTTGTCAGCAAGGTGGCAGAAGGGAGAGTTGGGTGGACAACAACAACTGTTGTATTAATCCCCAGTATTTCCCGATGCTGCCAATTACCTCCACCACATCTGGATCCAGCCCAAAAGGAATCCCATGTTCCAGATCCATGACTTTGTCACCCTGACTCTTTCCAAACTTAAAAACAATAAAAGGGATGAAATATGTTTAAAGCTCTAAATATGTAATGTGAAATAAAGTATCACCAAACCTGATTTGCTTTTCATTTTATAACTACGACTTCCTTCTGTGCTAATATGCTGATTCACAATAATAGAGTCACCATAAACTTCTGGTTTAAAGGCTTCTGTGCCTTGGTTTCGTAATGTTATTGAAATATCTGCAGAACTTCAAACAAAAAGTGTAAGTTAATTCACTGTTAATTTTAGAGACATCCAGCAAAATAATAAAATAGATTTTCCAACAATAGATTTTCAAATCTTGTTTAGACCACAAAATTTGGCCCATGAAATTTAGTTAGATTCAGTCACTACAGTGGTATTTCTGTTTTTTCCAGAGAAGCTCACAACTATAAACAAAGCTTTATACATAGTTCAAAACTGAAATGCATTGAAAGAACTGTTTGCACCAAGTAGAAATCTAAATGTATTAGACATATAAGCCCCTGGAACCCAAACTTTGATACAGCATGTTATATGTAAATGGCCCCAATTTATGGTGTTGTCCATCCACATGATCCTCCCCTAACACATGAACAAAACATTTCACTTACGACTCTCCATCTTTCACAAATGCTTTCAGGGAGGATCCCCTGTTAGTTGTGGTAGCTTTCCCACCAAGGCCAACAATAAGAGCTGTTAATACAGCACTCTTCCCACCTGTGAAAGGAAGCACATAAATATTTTATAAATCAATACTGTAATTTAACTGGATTAAAAATACAAGTTACATTTCAACCCAAACCTTACATATTTAAACTAGACTGGCAAAACTGAAATTACTGTTTAAGAATAAACTTCGTTAAACTACGATACCAACCTTTCCAATATTCTCTTAATAACCTTTTTTTTTTTTTTACTAAAAAATAGAATAAAATAAAAAACTGAGCTTGACATATTTAAATTAAAATTATGTGGAAAATTCTCAATTTTGACCCTGCAACATCAAATCGGGGTTTTTCCAAATTAGGAAAAAAAGACTGGAAAATTGATTTCCCCTCCCCCCGCCTAGCCACCTAAAACAATCATCTATAAACCACCAAACCAGGAAGAAGTGGTGGAGGAGCCTTTCTTCAAACATGTGGCAGAAGTTACCTGATCACAGGTCCTGGTTCTCATCACCCTGACATCTGCTGGGAGTGCAATGCAGCAGTGCACAGGCAATCCAAGAAGTTTTTGGAGAGTGTTTCGGAAAACTTCCTGGTGCAAGTGTTGGACAGGCCAACTAGGGGTTATGCCCTTCTTGATCTGCTGCTCAGAAACAGGGATGGGTTGCTGGGGATGGTGATTGGGAGAGGTCCCAGATAATTGGAAAAGGGAAAATATAGTGGCCATCTTTAAGAAAGGGAAGAAAGAGAATCTGGAGAACTACAGACTGCTGAGCCTCATCTCAGTCCCTGCAAAAATCATGGAGCAGGTCCTTAAGGAACCCATTTCTAAGCACTTGGAGCAAGGGGTGGTGTTTAGGAACAGTCAGCAGGGATTTATCAGGGGCAAGTCACGCCTGACCAACCTGATTGCCTTCTATGACCAGGTGACTGGCTCTGTCCATGTGGTATATGGTGAATATGGATGTGGCAGTGGACGTATATAGTGAACCCTTTGCAGGACACTCTTTTGAACTGGAACTGGTGTTTGGGCTGTTGGCAGTGGTGTGTGGGCTCTGGGCTGTTGCAGGGGGGAGAGCAGAGGGAAGGGGTGCTGACCGGCTTGGTGACTGGCTGGTTGACCCAGAACTGACCCCAGAACTGCCTATGTGGCCCATGGGCAAAAATAATTGCCTGCCCTTAGACTATGGTGTGTTCTCTGGACTGTCAGGTGGATAGAAAACTGGCTAGATCATCAGCCACAAAGGGCAGTAATCAATGGGTTGATGTTTGTGGCTGATGATCCAACCAGTTCTCTATGCACCTGACAGTCCATTGATCCAACTCATACTTCCCTAGCTGGCTTGTGAGAATATTTTTGGAGACTATATCAAAAGCCTTGCTAAAGCCAAGGTATATCACATCCACTGCTTTCCCTGCATCCACAGAGCCAGTCATCTCATCATAGAAGGCAATCAGGTCACAGCTCTGCCCTGGCCTCGTGATTGCAGCCTCACCTGCCTGTCCCACTCCTGAACACTGCTCCCTGCCCACCCACCATCCCACCCCACGTAGGGAGTTTTGGTGCATTGTTGCAGAGGGGTAGGGGGTGGGTGCTAACCTGGCCAGCAGCAACTCATCAAAACTCTCTATGTGGCCCCCAGGCCCAAATAATTGCCCGTTCCTGCCTTAGAGACTTCCATAATTTTGAGAGACCCCTACAACTCATACCAGTGCCTGCACATAAGGTTTGATACAGGGCATGCCAGGGACCAGGTCACAATGTACCCACATCACCTGGCGCTCCCCTCAGTATAAGAAAGGGAGGGTGACTATCTGGGAGAGTGGGTGAGGGGTTACCTCCTCCTGGTGCACTTTGGGAAAATGGGTGAGGGGCTTTGACAAGTACTGGGGGTGACTGGTAAGACAGGTGTATCAGGAGTCTGTTTTTCCAATATGGGTGGAAAGAATGAGACAGGGAGCGGGGCTTGATAATCTCACTCCCCATTCCAGCTGCCCAGTCATGTACCATGCCCACACAGGACCTACCCCCAGCAAGGGGTGCAGGGTGGATGGGCTGGAGTGCCTGGGCAGCATGGATGGGTCCAGCAGTGGCAGCCAGGAGCTGCTACCACAGGGGCTGCTGAGAAATGGAGTCTGCTATGGACCATATTTTGCCCACCACTGCTCTAAATGAAAATACTGCAAGATGGAAGCCTAACTGGTTGAAGCGTTGTGTCCAAAGAGTAAACACTGATTGTACAACATATAACTGGAAAGTAGTAGTAAGCAAGCCTCCTTTTGGGTCCTGTGCTGTCTAAGATTTTTACTAATGGCTCCGAACATGGAACTGAGTGAACATTAAGTAAATGTGCAGGTGACAGCAAGCTGAATGCAAACATTATGGAGAAGCAAGCTGATTTAGAATGTTCTTGATAAATGGAAAAATGAATCAAATGTAATTCAGCATGAACAAGAGCAAAATGTTGCACTTAAGATGGAACAATCAAGTGCCAACCAGGAAACAAATACAAATAACATGCACATTAAGGGGGAGGAGTTTGACATATTTTACAAACTTCTGTAAAAAGGTGGTTTCAGTTCCAGTAATTTTATGGTACGTTACTTAAGACAAGGTGTTGACAACTTATCATGCCCAGGCTGGACCCAGTTTGGGAAGGTCTGACCTTGCTAGGGGCAGCAAGGAGGATTGGGAGGCCAGCTGTGTTGAGTCACATGTTACTTTCCCAGGAGGCCTCCCTGCTGCTCTTTCATGCCTGTGCTTACCCTCATTGTAGAGAGGCCACGTGCAGCAAGGGAAGTGCAAGCAGCTTCACATGGCATGGAGCAGGTGCAGAGCTACACAGCCCACAGCAGTGATATGCAAAACTGTTGCTGACACCTACTTAAGACAATTATTAAATACCCAGAAAAAAGCTTTGCTTGTACTTTAAAAAATTAACATTTAAGCCTTTTTGTGATACCACTATATATAACAAGTCACTGTTTACAAATTAGAGTAAAACAAATATCACAATATCAATTCATTTTTCCAAAGTATGCCTCCATTCTAAATAAAGTAATAAAAAACTTCTGAAAATACAGGGCTAAAAGGGACCTCAGGAGGTCCAGTCCCCTGGTCAAGATAGGATCCTCCCCGTCTAACCCATGCTCAGGTGTTTGTCCAACCTGCTCTTAAAATCTTTCAAAGATGAAGCTCTCTGATCCAATGTTTACCTACTCTCATAGTGAGAAATTTCTTCCTAATATCCAACCTAAATTTCCCTTCCTGCGATTTAAGATGGTTTCTCCTTGTCCTGTCTCTTGCTTCCAGAGAGAACAGTCTATCACCATCCTCTTTACACCCAGAAATGCAACCGTATTGTTTTCAAATCCTCTAAAACAGCAAAGGTTTTGACAAACAATGTTTGGTGGTGAGGGTGGGCAAGTTGAAACTGAAGTTTTTTAAGAGGACTAAGTACTAGATTCAGAAAGGGACTCTGGAGAACTTTAGGTGCTCAAGTCCAAAACTGCAAACCCCAACTAGGCGCTAACAGTCTTAGATGGAAACCAAATTGTTTGTCAGTAAAGTGCCTACTTTCTGTTTCTACACATGACCAGAGCATGGCAGTCTTGACTCAGCACGTCTTAGGAATTATTTCCAATCACGATCTACAAACCAGGAATTCTTCTATGAGGCAGAGCTAGAAAAGCAAAGGGGAGAAATGCCCTGCTCACACCCCTGTTCCAGCTCTTTGAGCACCCAGGACATACCTGGACACCAAAACCAGCACAAAGCCGGGAGAGCCAGGGCGAGATTCTTTATCAACCCCGACTGCACAGGGATGATTCATGGGGCCAGAGACTGATTCTGGAGGCATGCGCCAGCACGAGCAGGCTTTCTGGTGGGAGGCGGGACCAGAGCCCCATACTGGCTCTACTGTTGAGCAGTGAGCTGGTTAATCAAGAGCCAGTCATTCTCCCAGCAGGGAACTCAAAGCCCAGCTGTGTGGCAGAGGCAACACAAAGAGCCATCAGGAAGCCCTAAGAAGCTGCAGGAACTGAGGTGCAGTGGTGAACAGGCGACAGAGCAAGCTGAACACCAGATGGCTGAGGAGCAGCCGAGCTGCTCACCTTTCATTACTCCTATAAGGAACGGACTCTTGGGTATATTGGGAGCCAAATCTGGTGCCTTCAGCTATGAGGCTGGGTGCAGAGAAGACTCTGAGTAATTATAAGACTGGAGGTATGAGGCAGGAGTGTAGGAGTCAGAGGAGCTCCCAAATTACCTGGCACTTAAGGCCAGCCGGTTGGTGCAGTGTTGAACAGGACTGGTGGTATTTCCTGGTACTCTTCCCCGCTTGGGGGTGGCTGTTCTCAGACAGAACATCCCTCCTGTAATTTCTCCATCAAAGTCATGGCAGGCGAGACTAAGTGTGGACAGGAAAAGCCTCCCCTGGAGGAGGGAATGAGCCAGGTCACCCGATCAAAGGCTTGGAATAACCTGGTCATCGAGACTTACTAACCTACCACAGGTGGTGACATTGACTCAGTGACATTCTGCCTATGTCCACTGAAGGGCTTCATCAAAGCTTGTCTATAAACTTAAGACAGAAATACAACTATCACCTTCATTCAAAAACATGACCTAAGAAGGAGAAGAAAGTGGTGTTGCTCATATACAAGTCCTAATGGTTGGAGCACTGAACCAGTGTAGAGTAGAGGTGCACTGATACATTGGTCCGATATCGGATTGGCACTGATATAAAGAAAATTGCTGATTATGTAAATTTTCCTCTTACTGGTGCCAATACGATATGGACTGCTGCGCACCGTTACAAATAGCTGATGTTCAGTTTTGCACATGGACTGGCGACTTAGCAAAACAACAACAGAGAGTAAGGAAATCAGATCAGAAAGACCCAGTAAAACAAGGAATCTATCTTTGGAAATAAAGGGCAAACAGGTTTGTGGTGTCTGAATCAGTGCAGAATATAGTCCAGCTGCAAATAGTGCTCAAGAAGATAAAATAAGGTGGCAACCACCTAGCAACGGTGACAATGAAAGACAATGAAAAACAGCAAGTTGTCTGCATTTCAACTGCATCTGCAGAACATCATGTGACCAACACATATGGTGACCTGAGACCTTCACCCCAGCACAGCTGGCTGATCGAGGACTCTTCTTACATCCACCCAAATTTGTTGCAGCATGCTGAGACTCATTTTAACACGTGGCATTGCTGCTCAGAGAGAGAGAGAGAGAGAGTGTGTGTGTGTGATCAATAAAGCTCAAAGAGAGAGAGAGAGTGTGATCAATAAAGCTTTGTTTGATCTTTCAATCAGACAGGGGTGCCATGGTCAATACATATAACCACCTTGGTCCACTCTAAGGGGTAGTAAATTCTATCCTAGCACCAAGAGGGAGGAGACCCAAATTGAATTCTCTTAATTATTCAAGATTCATAGGATCTGAAAGGGAAAGTAAGATTCTAATCTTACAGTTATGCATTCATCACTCATAGGAGGCTCTGGGTTCCAGGCCCTGTCACAAGAACTGTTAAAACAAAATACTGCACATGTAAACAGTCCCTGGGCAGGGGCAAGATCCCAAGACAATCCTTCCCAGGTGAGATCTGCTCAGTTGCCTAGACAGCCTTGCTTTCTTGCTCTCATTCCAGAATCTTCGATTCTGCTCAGCATCACAATGCCCAAGTCTCTTATGGAACTAGACCGTAGTCTCTTAATACTTACAAGTTAACAGTGTTTCTGACAAAGGAGAAATCTAATACTTACTTCCATTGTTTCCAACCACAAAAGAGACATTAGGTCCAAATGGAAAGGGTCCTAGCATCGAATGGCACATAAAGTTCTTTAGTTGGATACTTTCAATTATTCCAACCTCCCCTGAAGTCTACAGAGAGATAATAAAATTGCACATATGAATAATAGTAAAAAAAAAAAAAAAAAAAAAATCAGGAAAAACATATTGAAAGTGAACTTTAAAGAATGACAAGTAAAGAAGTAACATGATAACAACTTGATAGTATGTAAATAAAATCAAAGTATTTGTAAACAAAACAGAACATTTAACAGAGTACCTGATATTAAAGTTGCATGCTATGAACATTTTTAGTTCTGCAATTCCCAATCTTGCAGCTGTTCTCCAAGTCAGGGTCACAATGATAAAAAATGGCACACTCCCAGGGGGGGAGGCATGGGACAGGCATGTGCCCCTCAGAACTGTGCGCAGGTGAGGGTGGATACAGGCTGCCCACTGCCGGTTTGGGGCTCCCCACCCTGCTGCCTCCTCCCGGGGCCTCCACAGCAGAGCGGGATGGGTAGGGTCAGTGCTGCCGTTGGGAGCCACATGCCGGCCATGCCACCATGGCGAGGTGTCCCCTGCCTGCCCAGTAGGGCTCCCAGCAGCAGCAGAGCCTTCCCACCCTCTCGCACCACGTCCTGCCCACTGAGCCATGGAGGGGCGCTCCAAGCCCACAGCAGGCAGCCCACATCTGCGCCTCTCCCCTGTCCCCCATGGCGCCACTCCAGCTGTGCTGTTTATAGGGGGTAGGGAAAACACAAGCCATGTAGGAGTCAGGGGCTGTGGGTTGGGAGTGAGGCACACTGGCGGGTCTAGGGGGCTGTGGCTCAGGAGCAAGGGGCACTGTCAGGGCTGGGGGGGTGCTATGGGTCAGGAGTGAGGGGCACCGGCAGAGCCAGGGGGCTGTGGGTGGGAAGTAAGGGGCACTGACAGGGCCAGGAGGCTGTAGGTTGGGAGTGAGGGGCACCTGGGAGGGGTGGGGGACTGTGGGTTGGGAGGGACTATGCTGAGGAAATGTTTGGAAAGCACTGTTACAGCTGTCAGTATAAGCAAGTTATACTATTGTGACAGGACCTGTGCCCAGAGGCGCTGTGGTGCCACCTGGTAGACACACAGCTCCTGCTCAGGGTGCCTCCGGGTGCCTTTCCCTATTATTTTTCTTGCCATACCTTGATGTTGTTTAAAAGAGTTGGGAGGCTGCCCCAAGGACCCGCTCTGGGTCCAGTCCACTGCAAATTTACCCTCAGATAATCCAATGTGGCCCTTCCAGCCCTATTAGTACCCTAGGACACCAGGCGCCTTCAGGGTTGTTCACAACCTCCATCTGACTCCATAGCCATGGCCATACCTCACAGATGGGATCTGATATCATGTGAGAGGAGCTGCCCAGCCCCACCACAATGTTTGGCCTCCTCAGGCCTCAAAACCTTTGTTGGGGCTTCAGCCTTCCCAGCTCTGGCCCCTTTTCTCTGGCTGGGCCCCCTCAGCTTTGGTCCACTGAGCTGGACCTTGGCCTTGCACTTCCTGGGCTCTGGGGCTGTGGCCAGGCACCTTTGGTGCCTGCCACTTTAAGAGGCATAAGCAGGCTGTGCAGCAGCTGGCAGGTGCAATGCAGCCTAATGAGGTGGTCACATGTCCACGGGAGGGCTCCTGGATTGGAGTATGGGACTGAGCAGCCTCAATATAAACCCAGGCCCCCAAGGGTGAGCTGGTACTTACATTTAGGGAGCCACAGAGACAACATCACTCAGTTGGAGCTGCTGCTCCCATAATACCTGGTGGTCAAGGGCAGGAACTATGGGGATGGAGGAGGTTCCTGGTCCTGGAGAATGATGGAAAACTACACTCTGCTGGGGATGGATGGTGTGGTGAGGCTGCCTGTGCAGGGTGGTCCCCAGGAAATACCACTACAGATGCCTGCCTACTGAAAGGTGAGTATGGGGTGCTGTATTCCCTCAGCCCCCATGGCCTGGTGGGTAACCCCATAGCAGGGGCAAGCAGGGTCCAGGCATGTTGATAGATGCCTGAGTGGGCTATAGGCTGAGGTGGGGGCCCAGGTAGGTTGACAGACTCCTGAGGCTCAAGGGGCATAAGGCCCAGAAGCCCCAGTGAGGGGGCAGTGTAGTTGTCCCAGTAGGGGGATATGTGAGGGAACAGCTTAGCAGTAGGCTGTGTAGAGTAGGGTCCATATACAGGCCTGAAGGACTGCACATAGATGGTGTAGAGTAAGGTCCATGCAGGCGGGCCTGAAAAGCAGGGTCTGCGAGAGGGGCCTAAAGGACTGTGCACAGGCCAGCCTCAGTAGTTTGATAGAGCAAGCCCCCAGGAAGGGGGCAGAGTACTTACCCCAGCAAGGAAATAGTGAGAGGCCCTATTGACAGTGCATGAGTTGAGGCCCCAGTGAAGGAGGCACATGGCCCAGGTAAGTCTCCAGATGCCTGAAGCCAAGTTGAGTCTGAATATGGCCTAGCAATGGGGCCGGGGGAGTTGGGAATAATCTGGATGCCATCTGTGAGGCATGGTGTAGGAGAAGCTGGAGCTGTGTATTATGCCCTTGGCATTGGGCATTAAAGTAGGCAGCTTCCCACCTTATTAACATATTAATTATCACAAAGGCATGGCATATGAGTCATGTGGGTGGACTGCCCTACACAGGTGGATGGGTTGACATTTTTGAAAGGTCCCCAGAGAAGACCCTCCCCCCCGCCCCCACCTGTCACAGGGCCCCTTGGCTTCACACTACCTCTGTTGCCCCTGCTGGGCTCAGGCTCTGGCCCTCTCAACCTGTCACCAAATTGCATCCCTGCCCTCAATGGAGCAAAAAACCTTACATGCCCTTCATGCACCCCTGTGGCCTCCTTTCCATCCCCGCCAGTCACACCTGATCCTCTAGTTCTAACTAGAACAAAAAGGCAAGCAATGCTTCGAAATAAAGCCTCCCCTACTGAGGGGAAAAATATTTGGCCAGCCCTCCTACCCTTAAGCTCTTACTTCTCTACTCTCAGGGTATCTAGGTCCCTGCCAGGGTAACCCCTGCAGCCCCTCTCCTGGAAGCTGTTCTCTGCAATGCACTAGGCTTGACTGACTGGCCCCCTTGGATCAGATGACTCCCTAGTCAGGCACAGGGGTTTCTCTTTGCATCCAATGGGCAGCCTGCCTCTTGCTCCTGCAGCTTATAAAGGCTGCAAGCAGTGGGGCTCCTCTGGCTGCCTGGGACTCTGCCCTATTCATCTTGCTTATTGTTGTGCACCCAGCCCCATCTCATCTGCCTGCCTAGCTACACAACCAGGCTAGCTGCTTGTCTTTTTTTTCTTTTTTTTTAATTAGCATGGGCCTTTGGCTCCCTGTTGTAACGATGTAATACACAACCCAAATGTAGTAAACGATAAGAATGAGAACCTTCTTCATTATATTCAGAATTTCTACTTGCATCAATAATGTATGCAACTATTTTAATGCTGCCACTTGAATAGTTAGAAGCATGCCTTTCCAGTTGGTCATTTTTCTTTCCAATATCATGCCCCATTCTTTGCACCACTAAGCCACAACATAAGTTACCTGATTTAGTTTTGGATTATTACCCAAGTATTTACTTCCTTAATTGCGCTGACTGTACTTGGCTTCTTTAGTAGCAACCGATGAGTGGCTGACCATAAAATGTATGGTAGCATACCAGTGATATTGTAGCCAGGATGGTCCAAAAATTATGCAAGAAGCAACTATTTTTAGGGTGATATCTTTTATTGGACCAATTTATGTAGCTGGCACATGGTTTTGAATGCATGAAATCTTTGCCAAGCTTTAAACAAAGAATGGTATCCATGTTTGTGTTTACAATATTTAAAAATGTATTAAATTCAAAATTGACTTTAAAGCAGGCCATTTAGAACATAGAGAATGATTAAAATTTATCATTATTATGACTAAAAGCTCCCTGAAAAACTGTTCCAGGAGAATATTCTTCAAAAAGGTAGCTATAAATAATTGCTCCTGTAGAAGACCTTCATTTCCATATTGCTGTTTCAGCAGCCTCCATATACACTTGTCTTATTTTTCACCAGAAATGCCTAGCTAAATAAAAAAAATTTTTTTTTTTCTTTTTGTTAAAAGCCTCCTTTCTTTCTTCTTTCTTTCTTTTTAAGGAAACACTGACGTTTACAGCTCACCAACTCTGAACAGGAACTGCTGCCAGACCGCAAATGTGAACGTGTTACTTCATCAGGCTCATGACCAGACTCATCTGTGTTTTCTTGTCTTGCCCTTTTGTGGCGTCTAGTTTTTGAAATGCTCTCCTCTCTTCTCTTAGCCATACGTACTGGAAAATAGTAATAAAAACTCAAGTTTTTTTTTTTTTAATCAGCTGATTTAAAATATCGGACAATAATAATACACTTGTGACTATCAGTTAAAAAATATGAATGATGACAAGCTGTGAAAAAACCTCTTGTGATAGTAAATGGGGAAAAGTTCTCTCTCAGGCATCTTAAATAATGTTAGATAATTACAGAATGACCAAAAAGCTGACATGCTCGAAATTGATACAGCATGGGTACAGATTTTTTTTTTTTTTTTTTTTTTTTTTTTTTTTTAAAAGCCCATAAACTTAGATAACTAGAAAGAAAATTTCACTCAAAAGTATTTCAGATAAATCCTGCTGGAACTAAAACCCAGAAGTTCCTCATTGGAGTGTTCTTGGTTCTTGCTTCTCCCTGCAGGGTAAGGCTGATTGCCCCACTTGGGATAAGGAAGTTTGACCAGGGTCAGACTGGTATGGATGACTGAGGGGTTGCCTTCCTCTGTAGCAGGGGCATGGCCCTCTTCCATGGATCTCTCAAGTGCATTTTTCAAAACATTTTAGTGGCAGGATACTGACCGCTCTTGCTCCCCTACTTTACCTGTGGCAGGTAAGGGTGCTTTTTCATGTTTTCGGGCAAGATGCCTTGTAACTGTGCAATAAATTTGACTGTGTAGTTTGAGGAATAGGTTAGATGAGCACTTGTAAGGGATGTTCCTCTCTTGGGCAAGGAGTTGGACTAGATGACCTCCAAAGGTCCCTTCTAGCCCTGCTTTTCTATGATTCTTTCAAGTAACTATTGAACTTAATTTGCTCTCACTTAAGCTACAGGAATCTCAATGAGTGTTTTAAGGTCAGACTTGTAATTACCAAGCATATCTGACACTAGAACGTATATATAACTAGCTCTTCGCTTAGGAAGTTTTTGTAGAGTGAAAAGCCTCATGTTTTATTACTTAATCCTGTTATTGCAACACAAAGCACAATAAAATAAAATGATTACAAATACTTTGTTGATCTTTTCTTTACACACAGAACACGAAGCTTATCCTTCTTAATTTCTTGTAACACATCTGTAAAATTAACGTCTTAACTAAAGCACAGTCCTTTGAATCATTCTGGCTCTTGAGACATGGAAAGAAAAAAAAAAAAAAAAAAATCAGCACTTCACTCTAAACTTGGTGCACTCCTGGGCCAAGCCCAGCACATGCCCTGAAGAGGCAGTGTGTTAGGTGCACCTGGCTTTCCCAATGTTTGTAGAGACTGGGTGCTTTGGTGACTTTTTTTTTTTTTTTTTGGGGGGGGGTTATGCTCTCATCTAATAAATAATGCTGATTCAAGCAGCTAAAAGTACCAAAAAGCCTCACTGAAGTGCCCAATCTATAGAGGTACTGCAGGTCAAAGTGTAACATGCTGCTGCTTCCAATTAGAGTGTTTCCCCTGCCTTGCGTCTGTCAGTGCCCTGTGCCCATTAAAGACTTTTATGGCTATCAGATTTGGCCTCTCATGTTCATACTACATTGAACATGAGGATCAGAGTAACAGAAATTAGATAAAATTCACAGGTACAAAATGAAAGGCCATGCTTGGATAGACCAAGAAGAAGAATTACTGTTTCAAGCTAAGTGCTGTTTAGTTGGAAACAACGCGGGAATAAAAGATCTAGACCCATTAGAGGCAATGGGTTTTTTGTGATTTTTATTTATTTATTTTATTTAAGTTATTGGACCAGCTACATAGATGGCAGACAGAAAGCATATGGGCACAAAGCACCCTTCAGGGCTAGCAAGGCAGTTTGGGCAGATGCAATATCTTTTATTATACCAGTTAAATAGTTGGAAAAAAGACTTTTAGCAACTTTTTGAGCACAAATGCCCTTCATTCAAACCACAAACATTGGGAGACATTTCTTCAGGGCTGCCACCTACTGAAGCTGCTGCCTCCCTGAATCAGCCTCTCTAACTCTCCATCCCACAATGCTACATCCCAGAAAAACAAAGGCCTGGGTCCATAACGATATTTATTGTAACGAACTGCACGGATCAGGGCCGTGCGCCCGCGGCCAGCAGGCACGTACCAGTTGCGGCGTTGCCAGCTCTCATGATTTTTGGCGTTGCTCTTAAAGTCTCTAATCTACACCATAAGTTCCCAAGCCATGGTCCGCGAACCACCTCCGTGCCGCGAGCTCCATTCCCGCAGCCTGCAGAAATGTGGCGAAACAACCGAGACTGTCTGTCTGTGTAAGGTAAGACCCACCCCAATATTAAAACACGAGCGATGCACTTTGATTTGTCAAACAACAGCAAAAAAAGTGTAGTGAGCGGTCTGCCAAGACCCTCAGCAATTTTCAAGTGGGGAAAAAAACCCCCAAAAAGTTTGAAAGCCACTGACTTAAATATAAACATTCAATCATCTCTCAAATTAAGCAACAGAAATAGCTAAATATATAATATCTATCTTATTTAAAGATAAATATCGATTTGAAAAAAAAGAGCTGAGTTTTTCACTTCCCCCAAGCCTAGACGACTTTAAGTACAACGCCCACCCGCAAAAAACCAAGACTCGGGCCCAGTTGCGGGGGACAGCGCAGCGCAGCAGCGCCACGGCGGTATTTACGGCGCAATTTGCGCTCTCCATTGTAGGTCTGGTGAGTGCCTCAGCGCCAGCTCCTGCCTGGCAGGACACTCCGGTCTCGCGGCGCGGCTAGGGCACGGCCCGGCTGTCCCGCACCCTTCCCCGCACGGCCCCGCAGCAGCCGCCCTGAGCCGCACTTACCTCCTGGCCGAGAACGCGCGCGCCGCCGCCGCCCGTTGCGGTTCGAACGATCCCGCCCAAGCAACAGAACCCGGAAGTCGATCCCGGGGGCAGGGGGAGGAAGAGGGTGGTGCGCGACGCCTTCTCCTCTGCGCATGCGCGGTGCCGCGCGCCACCCGGCTGCGACGGGTACAGCGAGGCGCCATATTTGAACGCGGAGCTAGGCTCCCTGCAGCGTGTGGGTTTGTGTCGCTGCCGGATCGCGCTGAGGTGAGCGCGCGGGGCGAGGGTGGCGGTTCCGGTCTCGGGGCGCTCGGGTCAGACCTTCATCCGTGCAGTCAGCCACATGGGCTCACGATGCAGAATGGTTTGTGCGGCAGCCTGTGCAAAGCCCAGCCCGAGCCGCCTGTCCTACCTAGCGCGGCTGCCTCCACGTGAAGAAGCAGGGCTTGGCTTGGCCTGGCCCACCCAGTTCTCAGTGGCTCCCTGGCGGTCTCCATGCCCCCTCCCCCCCCATCCTCCGTTCATGCCCTGAACCAAGGGTGGATACCCTCTTTTCACCTAAAATAACCCAGAATTTTGTACTCGGTCAATTATAGATGAGTAACATAGCTACATTGATGTATTTCTATTGGAAGTAGCAATCATATTGGTTCGGAAGGATTTTTTTGGAGGTGATTTTGCTGGACATTTTGAAGGGCTATTGGCTGAAGTCTTCTCAGGAGTTTTGGCTGCGGGTTTTCCTGGAGTCTCATCTGCTTTCTTAAAGGAAGTGTCCAAGGAGGTTTGGACAGACGTTCTCCAGGGAGATGAGCGAGGCAGTGAACTTGTTCGCTGGTGTCGTGTCGGATCAAGCTTCGTAAAGTCGAAACGGGGTGTCAATTTATAAACATTGTAAGTGCCGTTTGTTGCAACTCAAAACTTCTTAAGTGGAGGACTGCCAGTATTTGCGTGTTTTTTCAGATGAAGGTCAGCAAATACAATGATTTTGAGCTTCCAATATGATCATTTCATACTTAAGAGCTGGCAGCACTGGTACGTGTGCACATGCGTGTACGCGGGAAGATCTAGGATTTGGTCAAGGGGGTGTGGCAGGCAGAGCTGGGGCAGCCCATAGGAAGCGGCACCTGTTTTTCCCCAGTTAAAAAAAGGAACTTGAAGCTTTCCGAGTGGGCTTGGCCAGGGGTACTCAACCTCTGCCCTAGTCTGGCCGGTCGGTAGAGCCAGGACATCCAACTTGTGGGGGTCCCTCACAGGTCAGGGAACTTGGCACTAGGAAGTGATGGAAGCTCCAGGTGGCCGGATCCAGCCTCACTGAACAGGCCATTGCCTGCACGGCAGGATCAGGGCCCGGACCTACCCCCCACATGGCCAGATCAGAGCCGAAATGCTCCCATCTCCCCCCCACCCCCATGCGTCTGGATCAGGGCTACATTTGTGTCCCCCTCCCGCCCATGCTTCCTCTATCTAGATCAGGCTACTCTGCCTTGTCCTCTGCTTGCACATCTGGATCGGGGCCAGTCTGCTCCCCCGTTCACATGTAAATCGGGGCTGCTCTCCACCTCTGGCCACAGCAAACAGATCAGGGCCAGGCTGTACCCCCCCCCAACCCCCCATGGCCCGATCCAGCCTACAGAGAGATACGGTACTGGCTGTGTAGCTTGCAAAGCGAAAAGGTTGGACACCCCTGTGCTAGGATCGTAGCACTGTACTGAAGAGACAAAGCTATCTTAACTTTATTGGAATTAGTTCAAAACAATCCGCAGGGCTGTGGAATAGGAGCTTCATTAACAGGAGCAGTTAACCGACTCCAGAATTACAGAACAACGGACAGCTCGATTGGTGGGACATTGAGACCATGAAAAAGAAGAGAGGGTCATTGACAAATGGAACGAAGGGTTTAGAAGGGATCAGGTAGATTATAAGCAGGGATCTGGGTTTTCCATTTCCCATGGGGAAAACAGAACAACATGGATTCCCCCTTTACCTGAGAAAAATGCAGATTTCTCATTTTAACAAAGAAACCTGCAGATTTTGCACTTTTGCAAAGAGCTCTTTGCAGGTTGGTAGGGTTCCAGTCTGCAGGAGGCTGGGGGGAGCGGGAGGAGGGTGATTAGGCAGCGGGCACCATATATGCATGTTGTGCCAGGCAGCCTGAAGAGCAGCTCTTGCAGATAAGTCAGGGGGGGGTTGAGGCCCATATAGGGAGGAAGGGAGGGAGTTGGGCAAGGATGGGGCTGAGTCAGCTGCCCAGCTGGGTGGTGCTTGAGACCTGGGGCTGGAATGGGAACACAATGGGGCTGGGGGTAGCTCATCCGGGGGGTGAGGGTGGGGCTGGCTCCCTGCTGCTACACATGCTTCTAGGGGGCCATGGAGTCTTGTGCCCCTCAGATCTGTGCACGGGGCAGGGGTGGGCTGCCTGCTGCAGGCTCAAGCTCCTCGCTCTGCTTGCCCACCCCTGGGGCCTCCACAGCCCAGCAGGTAGGACCCAGCATGGCAGGGCAGAGCAGTATTGGGCAGGGAAGCTCCTTGCCACTGTGAGCCCCATGTTGCCCTGGTGAAGTGCCCCATGCCCGCCCAGTGGCAGTGGAGGCAGCAACGTGGGGTTATGCCAGGGGAGCAACACGGAGGAGTGAGGGGCACCAGCAGGGCCAGGAAGCTGTGGCGGGGAGTGAGGGGCACCAGCAGAGCCGGAGGGGGGAGGTGGGGGAGTGAGGGGCACTGGCAGGTCCAGGGGGCTGTGGGGGTGGAGTGAAGAGCCTGGACCTGTGTCCTGGTGAGAGAAGCAGGCAAGGGGAGCTCTGATTTTTCCATGAAAGAAAACCCAAATTCAAATACAAAAATGTATAGGTACTTAAAATTTATTTTATTATAGTGATTGAGGCATTGGTAGGCTTCCAAATTGCTTCTAAATTGTAAATATATCAGTAAAACATTGTGTTCGATTGATACCTATACATAGAGAGAGGAGTTTCATTTTAATCACAGATTTGGGATTTTTTTTATCAGAATTGGGGCCGGGGGGGGTGTTAATAAGAGAATTTGCCATTTTTTTTATCGGAGAATACCAGGATCCCTGATTATAAGGAGCCATGAAGTCTGGTGACTCCCTCAGCACTGCCTGACTAGAAATGCTGCTGTCTGCCTGGCATTTGGTTTTAAACTTTGCATGGAGCAGGAGGGATGCAAGTGCACCAGTGCAGCCCTGCTGGATCTACGTGTGTGTGTGTGTGTGTACACTTACACACAGCTCAAGCTTTCATGAGCTGAAGCTCATTTTATCAGATGCTGTGAAAGGACACACAGAAAGCACAGCATAAGAAGGATGAGGTGCAAATCTACCCTGCCTTCTACTTAACTTCAGACTAGTTGCATCTCAAGGCTTTGTAGATAAACTTGCCTGGAGCCAGCTGGTTGTGTCCTGCTCTGATGCATGTCCTTACCTCCTGGCTTTAAATCTCACTGCCCCTTTCCTTTCAGAAGCTGTTTGTACTTAATGCGTGGAAACCAATGAAAGGAAGATTCTGTAGAGTAAGAGTGTAAAATCTCTATTTTGAGAGCACCACACCAGACTCTTCTGTCTCTACTATAAAACGAGGTGCTCAACCCCCAGCTCACAGGCCAGATCTGGCCCCCCTGCACTGTATCTTTCAGCCCATGGATCTCCCCACAGGCTATGGCCCTGTATGCTAGACTGGGCTTGCAGAGTGGCCTGGGGCCCAATCCTGGCAGGCAGGACCTGGGAGGGGCAGTGTGGGGCTCTAGGGCTTGGTCCTGGGATGCATGATTTGATTCACCCCACAGAACAGCCCTGTGTCCCTCATCTGGCCCCAGAGCCAAAAGGTTGAACACCACTGCTTTAAAATATAGCTAACTTCAGCGGAAGACGGGTTGAGACCCTAAGGTGTGATGTTGGGAGCCTGTATGTGTGCGTTCTTTGTTTGTTGTTAGAGCACCAGATCTCTTAAGGGACTGGAGGTGTGTGTGCAAATAAGGTCTAGGTAGCTGCTGTGAAGTTTTTAAATCTTCTCTGGGATAAGGAAGGTTGGGTGGAAGATCTGGGATGAATAAGGCCTTTGTGCTCCAAAATCGTTAGGTGCATCTCATTGCAAGGAGCAGGATCAAGGTTTACATCATTTTAAGAGATTGGTAGGTTATATGAATCTCTACTCAAGCACCAGTATAATTTGAAGGGGGCGCGAAAAAGTTTCTTCCCAAATCACACATGAATATTTTGCAGTGACATTAAGGGAAAACACTTGTGTTTTTTTCTCATGTTTTTAATTGTCTTTTGCATTCTTAGTAGGATTGAAGTGTTGTTGTAGCTATGATAGTCTAGGGCAGTGTTTCTCAACCCATGGGTCACAGCCCAAAAGTGGGATGCAAGAATACATGAAAGGGTCACAAACAAACTTTAAAAATGGATTCTCCTTTAAAGGAAAAAAAGTGGGAAATGGTGGGTTTCCCCTTGCAGGCTGGCAGAGTTCCAGCCTGCAAGGGGCTGCTTAGGGTTGGTGGGGGTGGGAAGAGGGGGTGCTGTTACATGCATTTGTGGGGGCACACATGCACATGACCGCTAGGCACTGCAGAGCAGCTCCTTGCAGGCAAGTCTATGGGGTGGGGGCATAGACAATGCATTGGGGGGGCAGGGGTTGGGCACAGGTGACACGTTGGGCAGGTATGGGGGGGAACATGCTCCCCCCAGACTTGTGTGCCCACAGCAGGCATGGGGCTGGAGCCTGGCCAGACTGGACTGGATAGGAGTCACCTCCACAGCTGAGCGGGCAGGACCCAGCAAACCAGGAAAGCAAGACTCATTGCTGCTGTCCCTGGGCCCCCTGCACCAGCTGTGCCACCAGCAGCATGAAGAGTAATGGATGGGGGGAGGAGGGGGTGCGCTACCCTCACCTCCTTCTTCCACTGCCAACTGGTCATATGTGTACCCCGCCACCATAGCCCGGCTGCCATTGCCATTCCCCGCAGGTCATGCCTCTACCTCAGAGGAGAGTCGGGATGGCAGGCAATGTGGGCGGCCTGAGCGAAACAGTGGCAGCAGTCAGACTATGGTGGCAGGATAGAGCCAGTGCATGAGCAGCTGGCAGCGGGGGGAGGTGAGGGCTGCATGGCCTCTCACCCCATGGGTTATTCTGCGTGCAGCTGGCACAGGGGTCCTACTGCTTGCAGTGGCAGCAGCAACAACAAGTCTCACAACCCTGCTCTGCCCTCCCACGCTGGGTCCCACCTATTAGGCCGTGGAGGTAGCTCCTGCCTGTGCCAGTCCTTCCAGGCTGCAGCCCCATGCCCACTGTGAGCACACAAATCTGGGAGGCATGTGCCCTCTCAAGGGTCTTCCCTACCCCACATACCCACCTCCTGCTCCACACACACTGAGGGACTGGAGCCAGAGGGCACTGGGTTGGGAGTGAGAGGCGCCAGCAGGGCCAGGAGGCTGTTTTCTATTTAATGGGTTGGGACTGGCCATCGATGTTTACAGATGGGTCCTGGTACAAAAACGGTTGAAAACCACAGGTCTAGGGCAGTGGTGCTGAACCTTTTTCCTGCTTGGGCCACGGGAGAGGGAGGAGAGAGAGCAGTGGCTTAAGGAGTGGCCCACCCTGACCCAGCTGTTAATGGGTGAGGAAAAGGGATGCAATTTGGCCCCATAGGATGTGGGAATTTCGTGGTAAGGGGGTGGATAGCAGTATTACCTGCCACTGCTCCCCTGCCACCAAATTTTCTGACCCACATAGAGTCCCGCAGGCCAGATCTCATGGCTCTGCAGGCCACTTTTGTCCCACAGGCCAGAGGTTGAGCACCTCTGGTCCAGGAAATATGTGAGAAACAAAGGGGTTCTTTGGTAATATCCTTTATTTGACCAACTGTGTAGATGAAAA